TCCCTATTTCTGCCTGTATTATTAAATAATTCCTGCAAATATTCTAAAATATTTGGTAAATATTTTAGTCTGAGTATCTTCCATGTGTGTGTATTCTTTGTATACATTTACCATACTAATCACTTTACTTTGAATGTTGTCTTTTTTCTGTGCTTGTAGCAGGCAGTCCCCTTGCCTTCCCCACCCTCTGGGACTGGGACAGAAAGAGTCTGGTCTCTCTCTCATGACCATGTTTTTCCACCCTCCAGAATCAGTTTTATGTCTTCATCCTGTCCTACTCCTGCTCTCCTGGTTCTTGTCTGGTTCTTAAGCAGATTGTTTTGCTTGTAATGCTTCCAAAGTGACTGCTCATACTGTAGATTCGAGGAATACCAAACAGTAAAATGTAGAACTAGGCAGCTCATTTTGTCACTTCTAATTATAAATGATGACAAAAGACGGCAAAAATTCTTTTGTCAGAAATCCGGTAAATGGACTTGCATTTGAATTAAAGCTGAAAATGCAAACTTTTCTTTTGGAGATTGGGGTCCGATCTTTTGTAGAACTACACAGAGGAGATGTGATGTTTCGTTGGGTGCAGTTAGATGGGCTAAATCCATCTTAGAGCAGGGTCAAGTTTTCTGTCTCCCACCTGCATATTCATGATGCCTCCCTTCTGCATTATTTTTCATATAGTAGCAAAAAAACTCTTAAATAACATAAATGTTCAGGATTTGAATCTCATTTCTCACCTGGCTGACCATTCAGCTCAGCTTGCAAGCTCTGGGACAAGGGACCAGAGCAGACGCGTGCGGCCAGGAGAAGGGCGCATTTGCTGGTGGTGATTTGTGCCTGTTGTGAAATTGTGCCCTGACCTCTTTCTGAAGAGTACAGTTCTGTTTTTCACTTAGTGTATAATGACTTTCCAGGCAAAAAGTAAAAACGGCTCTGCTGGATACTAACTTAAAAGAAAAAGGACCCAAGTTCTTCTGGCATGCTCATGTTTTCCACTTCCTTTTGTAGGAGCAATGGTTTTTGACAGTGTAAATCTCTTATCTTCATCTAAAGTGTGAGAAAAGAAGCTAGGTTGGTTGGGTGGTAAATTACCCTGCCTCTGCCCAATTTATATGCAGTAAAGAAAGACCTGCTTAACAATAAATGAGTGAGCATGAACGTAGCATTAAGGCATGATTTGCATCAGTGCAACTACGGAAATCAGATGCTAAGTTTAATGTGTCTTCTGCAATGTACCATCTGTTTTGCTGTCCCACTGCAACACATCTGTCTAGGCTGTTCATAGCGGCTCTTACATGGAGGCTGGGAGTGCTTCCAGAGATCTGTTTATGAGGATTCTCTCTGAGAAGAAGGGGAGCTGTTTTGTTCTGCTTAGCTTTGTTGCTTTCCTTTAGAACTTGATAGAAGCAGAGCACATGCACTGAGTAATAAACGCTAGCTCGTTCTGTCTCCACTGGGTCTTCAGTGGAAGAAGCCCAGTAACAAGTGTGTGGTCTCAGCAAGAAGGAGCATTGGAGACAGGTTCCTGGTCCTGTTCCCAGTTTTCTGTTGGCTCATTTGTAAGCCACTTAACCCTTCTGTCTTTATTTCATTTTCCCCTAAGTGCCATCTGACAGGCATTCTTAACTAAAAAGGCATTTTGCTATTTCTTAGCTGCTTTTTGGAAATAATTCCCAACACCGGTGCCTCTGTCATGGACTTCTTTTAACTTCCACTGTATCTCATGAGTTTTAGGCACTTCAAAATAGCCAAACCGTGTATTTCAGAAATCCCATTCTGAAATTCTCAGGCCCTTGGAACAGGACCAGTCCCAAGGGCAGAGTTGCAGCCACAGCTTTGTCTTTCTTTGTGTCAGGTAGAGCTCGGAGCTGTCTTTCATGTGTCTCTTCCCTCTCCTTTTGTGTTTATGAATGTGTCATGTTTATCATAAGCTTTATTACATTAAACTTGCATAATTCGTGTCATAAAGTTGTGGTAATGATATTGTGTGATTGCAGATTTAAAAAGTTGATATGAGGGTCGTGTCCTGCATCTGACAACTTCACTTGTAAACAATACAGGCTTTTGGTTGAGGGGAGGAGTTTTGCCTCTTACCTAATGTTCATGTGCCATCAAAAATGTGCTTACAAACGGAAAGGAGATGTGCACAGACTGTCAGCCTGAATTGGTGGTGTGGGTGGTTCTTGGCAAAGCTTATGAGTCTCTGAAGCCGGTGAGGAAATTTTTAACCGTGGTGTCACAAACTTGATGCGTTAGCAACAGATGTCATTTTCAGAAGCCTCTGCTTTCTTAGGGAGCACAGCATGCGAGCAGTATTCACAGGCTGCATGCAGAACGCACAGGGGTTGATGGCATGAAATCATGTCTTTTAATACACGCTGGCTAGAAGAGCACCTTGGTGTAACATTGTGAAGCTTGGCTTTGGGGCTTAATTAAACCAAGACGACGGAGCTCCGTGTCGTGCATGGGAAGTCTGTCTGCAGAATGTCAATGAACTGGAAGTCAGAGCAACCATTCTGTTAAAACAATACTTAGCTCTTGCCCCATGTGGCTTTATTTGAGAGCTGAATGCTGATGTGAGTGAAGTAAAATAGGAGAATCCTCTGCTTTCTATGCTTTTTCTTTCATCTTTCCATGCATGCAAAAAATAAAATGAAATTCAGAAGGGGTGTGAACTCTGCTACACTGTTAGGAACTATTTCAAATTAGCAAGATAAAATGGGACTGCTCTGCTAGTGCACAAAGACTTCATCTAAATTGAAGTCTCTTGGGGTTTAGAGCTACATAGTGCACCAGGGGCAGTTAAGCCTGGCAGTCGTGTTTGAAATGTTGAAGGTGGTAGTTCCAGACAAATGAAGGGGAAGTAGCATAAAATAAATGACACTGATGGCAGCGTAACATGGAAAGGAGAGAGGAGTGTGTCTGACCTTGCTGTCTAGCTGATATGGTCTGTCAGTATTTGTGCGTCACCAGCATGCCTGAACAAAGAAAGAACTTGCACTGGTCCCTCAGCCTTTTGGTGAGGTACAGATTTATTGGGTTCTGACGGGGAATAAAGGAAAAAAAACCAAACCAATAATAAAAATCCCAGCCCCAAAAGCTGTCTGTGGCTCTGGTGAGTCAGCGTTTCCATCTGACATGACCAAATCATGGAGATTTTTGCAACTCGTCCAAAAAAAAACCCCAACCAACCAAAAACCAAAACAACCAGTGACCTGGGTCTCAGCCTGAAATTCATTTGCTTTGCAGAAACAAGAGGGTTTGAGTTATTGCAAGTGCAAATTTTCCTTGAAGAAATTTGTATGTAAAAGCCTTTTTTTTGTTTTTTCTTTCTTTTTTTTTCTTTTTCTTCTTTTTCTTTTTTTTTTTTTTTTTTGCATTTGTTTATCTCCAAAACAGGTTCATTTTTTAAAATGAAAACTTGAGCCTTCGGTCCCTCCTGTGGACAAATAGCCTTACCCAAGGTCTTGTTTCATTTTAGAAAAATGAATTGCTGCGCCGGTGGGGTAGTATTGGAATGCTTTCAAAGTTCCTGTCAGTGTTTTAGTTTTGGTTCTTTTTTTTTCTTTCGTTTGTGGACTTGCTGTGCCTTTTGCCCGGCCATATTTAGTCTGCCTACTAAATGTTAGTCCGCCCAAACACTTTACTTTGTGCACTTAGCTTTGTTTTCCTTTTATTTTTTCTTTCTCCTTTTTTCTTTATTTTGTTTTATTTAGTATTATTTATTATTATTATTATTATTATTTATTTCTCTTTTGCTTTCACCCAGATGTATTTTAGACCGAGACAGACTTTGCTCCATGGGCCGGATTTTAGTCCGTGCACTATATTTTAGTCCGCAGACTAAAAATAATCCGCGGATTATTTACTAACTCAATTCCCTCACTGAGAACTACAGAGACCCAATGCTCCTGCTGAGCCATACATCCCAGGGGGGCTTCCCGGCTTACAGGTCCCACTGTCTGCCTGTCCTCCCACCCCTTCCCACCACGGAGCACCAGCCCGGCATTGCCCCGACATTGGCGCTCCGTGGCATGGAAGTGCTGGTGTACTCGTTGCTGCAGGCAGCAGCCACTCGTGTAGTTCTCCGTGGGTGAATTGGACAGCTTTCCTGGTGGAACTGTGTTGAGTGGGAAGCACTAAAAGACTGCAGGGGGTTTTGCTTTTATTTCTCAGGGTGTTATTCGAAAGGGAGGTGGGAGGGGACAAATTGAGGGGAAAAAATTTAAGTAACGGGTGCGACGGGTATGAGGGGAAATAAACCCGCAATAGAGAGCAATTCAGTCCATACCCGCACTCCTGAGGTGGTACGTCCAGTTCCTGAAGAATCCTAAAGAGATAACGCCAGCAAACAAAATCCAGTGGCGGGGGAAGTCAATCCAAAATGGAGAATAATCCGCGGCGGCCTGAGGCACTCATAGCTCACGCAAATTAAAAGCATCCAAATTCAAAAGTAAAGTTCTCAGATTTTTCCTTTCTCTTCAGCACAAATTACAAATTGCTGGGGTTTGGGTACTTTTGGGAAAAAAAATCCAAAACCACCCAAAATTTACATTGTGTCTCTGGGACAGACTTACCAATGGGATGCACCTTTTGGGACAAAATAACCCGGCCCCATTTGTCTGTGGACGTTTATATCCAGGACCGAGGACTGAAAATTCTTTATGATGGGAATTTCAATTACCCTTTTAGTTCAAGTTAGAGTTTTGATTTCAATTTTTTTTATTTTTTTACTAAATGCACTGGCATTGGAACATAAATTTAATATAGAAATGTTTCGATACTATGCCTCACCATTGCACAATCGATTTTTTGGCATACACTGTGGTGAAGTTGGACTTGCTGCTATGGAGACTGATGTTTAAAGTTTCTAATTGTATAAACATTTTCTATGTCCCCCACACCATGGATTTCTTATAATATTGGCTATATTTTTCCTTGCTGGACTATTCTCTTTTGGATTGACTCCCCCTGTTTGGATTATTTCACTGCATTATCATCTTTAGGACTCGTCAGGAACAGGACATTTCACCTCAGGAGTACGGGTATGTACTTAAACATTTTCTCAAATTACTAGGCCTAGCCTTGAAAAAGTGGAATATTTGAGTTCAAACCACATCTTTGAGGCAGCAGCCAGGCAAATGTTGTACCATGCAAGGTGACAGAGATGAGATGAGTACCGACCGTAACTCACTTCATGTTAGTCACCGCTTGTTGTAGGGGAGGCCACGTGAGGCCTTCCTTTTCCATTTATTCCTTCCCCCCCATCCCTAGTTTAAAGCAGTCAGGGCAGACTTCAGGAGCTGCCAACCCCAAGTAACTCATTTCAGAGCCAAAGGTAGGCTGAACAATTCTCAACAGGGCTTAGGAAACAGGCGCTAGGGTTTCACCGAAAATGAGTCTGGGTGGACAAAGGAGCACTCCTATGGATGGCAGATTGGTGACTGCTGTCTGATGTGCTCAAGGTACTTTTCATCCTTGCTTTAAAGCAAACTATTCCTTGTTTCTTTTTTCCTTTTTAAAATCTGTACAACAGCTGATATGTGAGCTGTCCTGAGGGAAAAACACAGCCAAGAGTCAAGTACTTCAGCCTCAAGCTGTGGTAAATCAAGCCTGTTAAAACGTCAGTGTGAAGGTTCATGAGGGAGATCTTGGTAGTTTTACTCTCATGTTAAATACCGAGCAGCTTCTCTTGTGTGGATTTACCTCAAGACAAACTCATTTGTGCTACTTAGTGAAGGACAAAAAATGAAAAGAGCTCTTTTGGGGGTTTTTTGCTAGAGATTTTATTGTGGTCAGGCTGTGGCTTGGGAGTGACACTGGCATCCACTGAGCACTGTGGTCAGCAGCCCAAGCTCTGCCAGCAGCATGCAAAACCAGCTTCTCCCGACCTCCTGTGCACTCACGGCACGGTGGTCAGCTGAGGTTCTTTGCCAGCAGTGTTAAGCTGATGCCTTTCTTTTTGTCAGTGTAGGCCTCGTGTGAAAACTTTTTTGGTTTGTTTTGCAATACCCCAGTAGAAATCAGTTGTGCTTTTTGGGTACCTGGCTCTTTGGCTCCCCGAGTCAGGATTCCCTGCCACACCAGTTAGTACTGCACGCACTGCAGTGGTCCTGGGTGCTCCCGAGCCAGCTGGGCGCCAAGGGGATAAAATCTCAGTCTCTGGAGAACTTAGCATTTGTGTTTGATTCTCATTCAAGAGAGCATATGTGTCTTTGGTTTAAAACCTGTGCAAGTTCCTCATCTGTGATTAACGAGCATGTCATGCACTGAATTGTACTTATCTCTTATTTTGCTCCTTGCTGCTACGTGGCTTGGGTTCACCCACAGAGGGACAAAAGCATTTTGGGTTAGCTCCATTTTTACCAAAAATGCTGGCATCAGAATTTAACACTTGCAGCCACCCCACTCCCTCTTCGCCAGCCTGCGTATCACTTGCAACATAGCAAGGCAGAAGAAGTACTTGAGGGGACCATCCATGTCATTTTAACTCATATTTTGCTTTTGACATAATGAGAAAGGAAGATGGGGGTGTGATTAGTGGTGGGTAGGACTGTTCTTAGAGGACTGAAACAAAGCTGCAGTGAAGAACTCCTATTTGTAATCACTCAAGGTAGAAATCTGGTAGAGTATAATAATTGGTTCTCTTGACGCAGTTTTCAGCTGTCCTTACAAATACCAAATGTGCAGGAATTATCCCAATAAACTTATGGGAATGACTTGCCAGAATAAGGTCACGGAAGAAGTAACTTGCAAATTAGAGCTAAGACATTTCCTGCACCCCACCCGTGCTTTCCGTGTTGTTCTCCAAAGTTGAACAGCAGCCTCCATAGCAACAGTCTGACCTGCCTGCCTGCAAAAGTCCATGTTACTAAAGCTTCATTCTCTGGCCACAGAAAAAACACCCCAACCTGAAACCATAGCGAGGGCCTTACTCAGTTTTTACATTCAGTGAATCGTGCTCATTTGAACCCTCCTCCCCATCTCCACCCCATGTGCATGGCTGGAAGCACCTGTGTGTTTATCATGATTTTTGAATGAGTTTCCCCTTCATTCCTCAAGTTGTTTTTCTGAGTGCGCGCTCATGACGTCTCTTGCTGGCATTGCACCTTCACTCTAGTGCAAGACATTGCAATTAACCCTTTCTCAACCCCAGGAACTGGATTTTCCCATGCTTACTGGAGGACTTTGATTAGCACAACCCACAACTTGTTTGTTCCAGCTTGTTGGGCAATGAGAGGTTTAATTGCTCTGACTTGCTTCTGGTCAGCACGGAAAAGAAACATACCCAGACAACCTGTTTCTCCTGGCTTGTTTTCTCTTTTTGTCTTGTTTTAGGTCTTCCGGCCCCGCACTCCACCAGAAGCAATCGCGCTATGTAGCCGTCTGTTGGAGTACACCCCCACTGCCCGCCTGACTCCCCTGGAGGCCTGTGCGCACTCTTTCTTCGATGAACTACGGGACCCAAATGTCAAGTTACCAAATGGGCGAGAGAAACCTGCACTCTTCAATTTCACCACTCAAGGTAGACTGTGAGCATTGAAAGATCCCTTCTTTAGGAAGGAGCACTTGGATAAATGTTCGCTGTGATGCAGGTGTCATTCCCCCAAAAGTCAAAGTCTCTGAGCAGGACTAAGGTTATTAAGTGGTTCTATAACCAGCTCTCTTGTTTCAAACAGAGAGGAAAGGGACTCTGGAGAAATGGGTTACGGGATTTTCAGATGCCTGGTGCCTTCAATTCAAATCTTACGCAGGGTACCAAGGGCTGTTACTACTGGATTGCATCAAGAAGGTTTACATTTGCAGTTCAGCGTCTGCATCCTGGCTGCTGGCTTTGTGTGAAGTATCACGGTCAGCAGACCATGGAGATGAGATTATCATTTGGAGGTGATCCTGCTCCATCGTACCCGAAATGCCATAGCGAGCGGTAATGCATAGTAGGTTTGACAGGGAGGTTTGCAGTGTTGCTGCCCATTTTGATTCTAGGTATGAGGTAAATACAGAGGTGTTAGTGTCCTGATTTTATGTTCTATACGGTTCGTCTGGCATCACATTGACTCAGTCATTTAGAAACTGTAAAAATGGCAGATAACTAGCTTTTTATTTGAAGCCAGACCAGTATCAAATTTTAAAGCCATTGATATGTGGTTTGGGGTTTGCTTTTTTAAAACACAAGTGAAAAATGTAAAACTGATATCCCCTTAGAACAGTTTTGCCCGCCGAGACAGAGAATGTGACAAGTATGGCGTGCAAATATGTTAGTAATTAATTCTGGAGCTTTCTTGACGCGATTAGCTGCCAATTCTCATCCTTTGAGCAAGAGCAGACCTATGTGCATTTTCTGTTGAAAGTCCAAACCACCTTTTGGCTGAGTTAGTGTTAATGTAATTTTTTCAGCCTCTTTCGTGCATGCAGTGCCCATCTGCCAAACTGTGAAACAGATCCCTCTCCTTCAACATGTGGACCCTTTCATTTAGAAACAAAAACCAAGGGCAGCAGGGAGAGACAAAAAGTTTTGTGTCCAAAGCACAAACACCTTAAAGCTATCAAGAAAAGAGCTTGTGCTTCCAGGTCACTGCCCTCGGTGCTGATTTCTGCATCTACTGTTACGAATTTAGTAGCTACATTACAGGTCTTTCCTTGTTACAGTACCCATGAATTGCCTTTTCTGCCCACTCGAAGACAGTCTTCAAGTAGCTAAGATGGTTCTGCTCCCAGGATCGTAATACCACTTCACCCCTGTTCTTTTTGCTGTTATTTCCTACTGTTTCTTAGTGATGTTAAGATTGGGCTCATCTACTACATGAAAACCAGGATTTTAGAAAGAGTTGGGAAGCTTTATGGTGACTTTCTGTAAAAATCCTTAGGGGAGAAATAAATGTATGTATTGGGAACGTGTCCCTGGTTTTCCACTAGTCAGTGTGGAAACTGCTGGGAAAGCTACCCTAATGCTTAAGCAAATTTAAAGCTCCTTTGCCCTCCTTAAGGAGCTGATGTGCTCTCCCCTTGCACAGTGACTCATGGAAATGACAAGTGAAATCAGATCTCCTGGAGCAATTTCCTTAAGATTCAAAAAGGCGAGTTTCTGTCCTAGGCAGGTGCCAGTTTCACCATCTAAAAAGGGAAGGCAGGACAGAGGCTGGCCATGAACACGTTTTCGGATAAGCTCTGGTGTAGGTGACCAACCGAACTCAGGTAACAAGAGTTGGTTTTTTTCTTTTTAATAAGTAATTCCATTGCTTAGCACAGTGATTTTAAGAGCTTTGTATTTAATAAACGTGCATCAGTGAGTCTCATGTAGCAACAGTCCTGACTGCAACCAGGGAAGTGGTGGAGTCACCATCCCTGGAGGTGTTTAAGAGACCGCTCTGGGGCTTAGTGACATGGTTTCATGGAGGACTTGGCAGTGCTAGGTTAGTGGTTGGAGTGGATGATCTTAAAGGTCTTTTCCAACCTAAATGATTCTGCGAGTTACACAAGAAGCTTTTGCTCCTGCTGTGACCACTCTGCAGTCCTTGCTTTTTAGCCAGACTGTGCAAGACTGTTGAATGGCTAGTCCAGAGCAGAAATCCCAACTGGGAAATAGATCCAGTTATTGGAATCAAATGATGACTCATGTTAAGTCATCTGTGGTAATTTAAAAAGTGATGAAAGACATCTTTTTGTTTTGAGGAGCATGTGTTTTCAACAGATAATATTAAATTTTAGAAGTGTTTTATTTGGCTATATCCAGTTGCCTGAAACCCATGAAGTAGGAGGCAGCTGCAGAAGGCTTGAAGGCAAACCTGTTAGAAATAACAACATAAATCTGACCGTTAATGCACTGGATTGATTCTCAGACAGAACTGAACTGTCACACCAGATCTGCTGATCTGAGAACTGATGCTGCTCAGATACAGTCTAGAAAACTAAGTGAGAGTATATGGAAGATAAAGATCATGGCCTTGGCTGCCAGCAGGAGTTGCGGGGCATGTTGGTGCTTACTTTATTGTAGAGATGGGATCTCTTGAAGAGAGCTTTATCTGGCCGTTCTTAATGTATTACCTTTAAGTTCCTATTGCTGTTAAAACAAATATTATACATTAATTGGGGTTTGAAGAAAGTGTTTTGGCCAAAGTATTTCCACTAGCCACAGAGCTGGCTGTTAGACTTGCAAGACAGAAAGCATGGAAAGCCTTTTTTTCTCTTAGAAGCTGAATTTTCAAACAATCTGTGAAATGACTACCCTAAATTTCCTGAACTTGTTGTAACACGGTGGTGGTTGAGCTGGGTCACAAATGTTACTGTCACTCCATGTCGGCCGTTAGACACTGTAACATCTTTCTGTGATTCAGCACTTAGGAATGGTTATTGTGCATTTCTAACCCAAGTGTTTCAGTGTACTATCTGAGTGCCATCTAGGTTTTTCTTTTAAGACAGTATTTCTGCTCAGGTCCTAGAGGGGACAGTGGGACAGAACGAAACTTGCACAGAGTCCAGCACTGTTCCAGGCTAAGGAGAAACTGCTGGAACAGCCCGAGTTACATGGAGTTTGTTATTGTGAAAGAGCAAACTGATACAAGACTTATTTTTTCAGGGGCTTATGGGAATGTTGATAAGTGAAATGTAACAGTGCTGATAAAGAGCACTGCACTGTTTCCCAAGACCAAGCATTTTCTTGTGTCTGGGGAATGAAGACGATCTGGTGTTCTAGTAAAGTAGACGTTTTCATTCCCATCCCAGACACACAGCTCCTTACTGGATATGTAAACTGGCTGCAAATGGCATGATTTGATCAGAGGTGTTCTCTCAGCTGACGTGAATGGGGGTTGGGTCTCATAAATGAATTGGGATAGCAGCTCCGTTAACGTCATGGTATTGAAAGCTTTGTCTGGATTGCCTTGATCACAATACCTTCTTGCAACAGCAGTATTGGTTGTAATTAATCTAGCCTTGCATTGCAAGCTTGATTAGTTAAGCTAGCTACAGTTCAACAGTTTGACCTTCTTAATACTTTGTCAACTGCAGGTACTACAGGTCAGGCTTTTTCCTTGGTATTGACATCTCATTCTTACAGAGGTGATAGCAGCAAAAATATGATAGAACAAAAATGCAACCAAGTTCTCAAGCAAAGCTGCTACTAAACTTCAGCCAAGAGTTCAATTTACTGTGATCATTTCTTGTCTGAATTAACATGCTCCTGAGTGAAGCATCAAGACATTCAGAGCATGCTGAATTTAAGAAACTTCATACCAAGAAGGATAACGTGGGGTTTGAGACAGGAACAAGATGAGTCTTGTAGTCTCTATGCACATTCTTTAAGGTAGCTTCAGAAAAGTGGTTGCATTTACCTTAAAACCAAAAAAACTCTCTATACATGCCATAATGGGTGCTGCAAAAGGTGGTGTTCTGATGGCACTGGGTGAACATGTGGCAGTCTATAGCAGCATCCTCAAGGCACCACTTAGCACTGGAAGGTAGCAAATGTCGTTTGGTTTCCTTGAAGGTGCAGCTCTGCCTTTGTTTGGGTCATAGCTGCCAGTGGCGAGCAGAAAATAATGAGGGAATGATAAAAAATTCCAGGAAGTGAGGTAAGCAGCAGATTCCCACTAATAGATTTGAGAAGCATCTTGGATAAAATATTAAAGGAGCAACATTTTCTAGCACAGAGCAGCTAATACCCAAGGTAGTATTAAAGTATAGGTTTCTCACTGCTGTTCAGCTTTAACACTTGAGGATTCACGTTTCTTCAGTTTATTTTTCCATTTAAAACGGAGACTTACAAATGCTGAATTATTACGAACATATGAATTGTGAATTATTCCCACATGAATTTGAGGATTAGTATTTGTACAAATGTTGTGAGTAGTGAGGCTTTCTAGATGGGCTAGCTAAGTCTGTTTAGACATGAATGGAGAATTACAGGATAGATTGGATGGGTTGCAGGTAATGTAGCAACTTCTGTTTGGTTCTAGACTGGAGCTTAGGTTCATAAGTGCTGAAGCACAGTCTCAAAATGTGTGGCAATGAGTAGGTGAGAGTCTTCTGCCTCTTGCCCTCACAGCTGTAAAGAAACTTCATGTAACTTTAACAGAAAAAAGATGAAACTGCTGAGTAGACTTCTGATCCCTTTAGGCCCTAAGTTTAAAGCTTGTGTTAAAGAAAAGCAATAAGCTCTTGAAAATAAACACAAATAATTGAAGACTTTGTACAAACCTCCCTTACTGAACACATGGTGTGATTTGGATAGCCCTTGCTATCCGGAGGTCTTGTGTAAAAAGCTGTCTATTCTCATTTCTCCTCCAGATGACCTCCTGGAGCTCCAAAATTCGTCAGTCTCCTTTCTGTGAGGTGACTGTTCACATCCTTCTCTGGAACTGGATGCTGCTTTCTCAAGAGGCAGCCAGTCACTCCTGTTTCTGAAGCAAACAGGACCTGTCTTGTCTGCTCAGTTCCACCTTCTGTGAGGCACTAGATTCTCTTGAAAGGGCGCCAGAATATTGTCATTTGTTGGCAATGCGTAGCCCTTATCCTCCCACAGTTGTGGCTATAAGATGCCTATTTTTCATTCTGATAACACGTTGAAGCTATATTAGATTTGGAGCCTAAAAGACGTGACTATTTTTGCCTTGGTTTAATGTCTTCAGACAGAATGGTTGCATCATTTTGTTGTCCATTTAAATTGCCCTGATGATCAAATCCCTTTGCTTTTCCCTGTGCTTTTAAAGGAGGTGCCACCTCTTCTTGGCCTCGCTCAAGGAGACTGGTCTTGGGTTGCTGGGTCCTTGAGAAAGTGATGCTAAGAACCAAATCCCTTAAGCTCTTGGAGCAACTGTTGGAGCTGCTTGCTTGCTGAACCTGTGCCCAAAGCAGCACCACTGTTATCAGCCTTCTTAAGACTGATTGCAAGTGGGTTTGTGAAGGGAATCCTTCCAGTGCTTAGAAGGAAACAGCATTATCAGGCTGCTGATAAGGAACAGGCTTGGCTGGTTCTTTGCTAACTCCCAAGCTGCTGTCTTTCTCTAGGAAACAATTCCCATGCACCACTACTTGTAGTTCTGACAGTCTTGCTCTGGAGACTGCTTTGCCAAATATCCCTGTGGTTTCCTCTTGCTGGTTGGCAAAGAAGAAAACGTAACGTGACCTTTGGCTGTAAAGGCATGCATTTCACCCAAGGTTGCTCTTACGGGGGGAACCCAAGGAGCTGAAACTGCATGCAGGGCTCTTCGTGGTCTGAGCTAATTTGTTTTGTTCCACCTCCCCTCCAGAACTGTCAAGTAACCCATCTCTGGCTTCGATCCTCATCCCTGCTCATGCCCGGAACCAAGCAGCTGCTTCAACCCCTACAAACGCTACAGCGGCCTCAGGTGAGAACATGCAGTCGCCTGCCTCCCTCCCCACCCTTGCTCCCCCCTGACCAGGCACCTTCCTTCTGCTGAGGCACATGAGCTGCCTTGGCACAGGGTGAGCGGGGAGGAAGGACTTCTTCCAGCATCACCTGAAACTTGGTCTTGGTGGGTGGGCTTTGGGGTGCTAGCAGTGGTCACCAACCCAAATCCTAACCCAGGGCACTTTAACTCTGCATTTGACTTTATAGTTTGTTGATCCTTCTCTCTCAGACTTCCACTATTAATAAAATCACCTGTTGTTTTTTAGCAGTCTTCACGGGTTAGTTTGCACCTAAGTTCTGAGCTTTCAACTGCTCTGAAATTAATACTGACTTGGAGAATGAGCTTGTGCTAGATGCCCAGGAAGAGAAGAAACAGCTAGCTCAGTACATGTGGCCTCTGTGGAGCTTGGATGCCTTCCCCAAAGGCATTAGCACTTAAAAGTCTACTTAGGGAGTTCAGTCATTGTGCTCACTGCCTTGCCTAAGTAGCTGCAGTTGCTTCTTACTGAGTTTGCTTGTGTCATCTTTGGGTATAAGGCAGATGCTTTTTTGGCCAGCACTAGTGAATTTCTTTCTTGCCTCTGTTGCTCTCTCTCAAGTTTCTGTCAGAAACCTTTTACAAGCTCACTGTTGGCCTGTAGCCATTCCATACTGTATTCAATTCCCAGTGAAAGCTTAAAAGCCTGCTAATACCAGTTGGGAGACTCCCAAAGAAAATCCCAGGTGCTGCAGGATGTGGTGGAGGTGATTCAGTACATGACAGTCTGCCTCTGAGTCAGCAAACCAGCCGGCTCTCTTGGGAATTGGGCAACCCAAGGCAGGCTGTAGAATGGGTGTGCTTATGTACGTAGCTTGTGTGCATGTCAGTCCCATCTGAGAAGGGCTCTGACCCCATTTGGAGGTGGAGAATGCCTACTCACCGTAAAATAGCTGATATGGGGAAGCCCTAATTAAAAAGGTAGTATTGAAACGTGAAGGAAAGCATTTGCAGGTTGGTGCGTTGGACAGTTACCTGATGCACTTGGTCCAGCCTGTGCTGTATAGAGAACATTTTCATACTCCAGGACAGCCAGATGCACCCAGATTGGAAAGATGAGGCCTCCCTGAAGATGTAGTAGCAGTAGGGAAAAGATAGAGCCTGTACAATTTTATGTCTTCTGAATTTAGGAGAAAGCAAAATTGGTATCCTCAAATTTAGTATGTTTGTTTCATACACTTGGCAGTATTTTGCAAATAGTCATGTTCTCCATTTCCCTTTTCTGTGCATCTGTTGCTCAACAACTGAGAGAAAAAAAGCAGATAAAGTAGTAAAAGTGATTGGAAAACTACAGAATACACACATGGAAAATTATTTCAAGCGCTCCTGAAAAATATTGTTTCACTTAATGTCCCCTTGATGACTTTTAAGGAGTTCTCTTTGTCAAGATACAAGTCTTGAGGAATTAATGGGGTTAAGAAATCCGTTTTCACCCACCACTTTCCAAGAGCTCATATGGGGAGAAACGCATTTAGGCTGAGTCCTAACTGTGAAGTATGCCCAAAAATAAAGAACAACAAAAAAAACCACCTTATTGATATCAACAGTTTTAAATCTGTTTGCAAGCACTGCACCAAGTTGGGACAGGACCTGTTATCCATCATTCAGAACCCATAAAAATACCTTTGCAGCTTGGAGAAGTTGTGCGATGAAGTTCAGTATTGGGCAACTTGCAGCTTTGTGTTTCTGCAGCACAGCCCACTGGTAGTTTCTTATTCACATGAGGGTCTCGCAGTGGGAGTTCCATGGGAGTTGTGATTTTTAGGATTAGGCCCTCTATGCAGTTATGTTAATCTGTTGTGCTTTGCATACTGATGCCACACTTAGCAAGAGATTTTCAAATAAGGGGTCCCTTCTTTCCCTATGGCCCTGCACATCCCAGAGCAGTAGATTTCTACTCCTTCAATAGCTGCTAAAGCAGCATGGGAGCAACTCTCACCTAACCAAGGGCATCCTGATAGGCAGATGTTTCTGCAACACATGGCTCAGCAGTAGAAATTCAGAAACTATAAAGGTGATGATGAAGCAACAAGACGTAGCTCTCAAAGCAGTTCAAAGGGCAAAGCAGGTTATATGTAATTGTAATTCACATTATCAGTGTGTAACATGCATCTCCCTCTAGCAAGCAGAACTGATCCTGAGGCCCAAGCTTCCACTCTTATGGTTGCCTACTCCATAAGCTTGAGGCATAGGTGCACGTACATTGAAATGCAGAGTACTTGTTCGTCACTGTAGATAACCCAGGTGGGTGGCTGTTACCTGCTTGCAGGCAGTTACTCCGTTTTCAGAGCTGTCGTGTTAGTATGCAGCCATGTCAGAATCTCTGCTTTTTGACAAGGTGTAAAGCACAGCTCTTTATCGTGCATCAAGGCAGGGGCATAGTTAGAGAATAAATTCAAAAGTGAGATCTGTTTGTCCCAAGTCTACCAAAAGCAGTGTTTGTCAGGACACTTAGCAGTGCCATGGTGCTAAGAGATGGGAAGACTGGCTTTTCAGCATACCACATTAACAGAGCAGGTTTCATCAAGCCAGCAATACAACTTGTGCTAACAAGTATGTCACAAATCTGCATTTTAAAATATAGCAAAAATGAGTAAATTTTGTTAACTGATAGTTTCACAGTGGTGATTTCAACAGCCCAATGCAACAGTATTCCTGGGATCATGATCTTAAATGCAGGGGAATTGTTGTAGGTCGATTTTTAAGTGTTAAAATGTTTTTGTTGCAAATTTCCTCTACTCTGGAGTGATAAAGCTGGGTTTGCTGTGCTAATAGAATGTGGGGAGTATGAAGCTTTGCTGCACCAGTGTTAGTAAATTCACCTGAAGGTTCATGAGAAACTCTGGTGTGACATTAATGACATGTCTAAAGCAGAGCAGAGGAAGATGGGAGTTATTGGCCCCTGCTTGAAATGATGGGCTTGCTTTTTGTGGATTATATTGGCCATTGATCAGAAATGCCAATGCAGCTTTATTTGGGTGGGTGCTGGCTTGATTAGCTTATGGAGGATGGTTTCCTAGCTGTGCAGCCGCAGCATCAGCAAGGGGAGCGTGCACACCGAGCCAAACGCGTATCTGCTTGTGTGACTCCGTGTTTTGCTCCCTGGATCAGCCAGCAGCAGTAATTACCTCTGTTAGTCAGCATTAAGATGGGGAGAGCGTATTAGCCATCTGCAGGGGAGTTGTGTCAGCAGGGATACTGGGGTCATCATCTTGGGCATCCCACTGTGTTGATCCTGTGTAATCCCAAGTGTGATAGCGTGCCTGAACTTTCAGCAAGAAAGCAGATCAGAGCTAGTGTTACCTGCCAGTGTGTGCCATTGAAAAAGACCACGGTGCTCAATAAAACAACATTTAGTACATTCAGAGTATTCCCATCAAGGGAATTTGGGGAAACTAATTCCTTAACCAGAAAAGGGGCAAGCTCAGGCATCTGCAAGCTCAGCACAGGGATGAGTCCATGACAGTTGGAGGAGTAAAACTTGCATGTTTCAGGCTTTTATGTTCCAGTTTTGCTCTGGGCCCTGGATTTCTACGTCCATATGCAAGCACAATAGGAAAACCAGGCTTTTCCCCTCCTCCTTCTCATCCTCTCAGCTGTCCTGTGAGAGCTCCCAGGCTGGTGGAAGGTTTGTTTCTGTATCTCTGTAGAAGAGCAGCACAGTCCATCAGCGTTACAGATCAAACCAGCTAATGCTCTCCTTAGTGCTAATGGTCTTCTTGGACTGAATTGGCACCTCTGTCTTGCTGAACTGTAGCCCTTTCATTCCTTTCCGGGAGGTTCCTAAGGAGTAACCCTCCAAGAAAGCCAAGGTGTTCCTCAGAGGGAAAAGCTGAATGGGAGGAGGTGCTCTGCACTGATGGGAGGTACTTCGCCCTCTGTTTGGAAGCACTTTTGGAGGTGGCTGACACTTAAGCCCTAATGTGGTTTCTTTGCCCGCACAGGCAGAGGTGACAGGGCAATGAGGCTGCCCTGACCTCAAGCCACAGTCATCTGTCCCAGACCAGAAACCTCCTAGCTTTGCTCCCCGCTGCTTTGCAAAGCAGGTGTTCTAGCAGCACTGCTGAAGGCCTAGGTTTTCTTCTCTTACACCTGAATACTGATGCCTCATGGTGAGAAGGAAAGCAGTGTCCAGAGAGCCCCATACTTGAATTGTGCTCCTTCCTCTGGCACCTCAGCAAAGAGAAGAAGCCTCTCTTTGCTCCCCAGATGTCTTGTTGAGGCAGAGTCAAAGAACAAGCTTTCTTGCAGGTTTGGAGCCACTTAAAGCTTTGAGCAGGCTCAATGCTGCGTCCCAGCCTGGGTGGGCTTCTGTATGTTGTTGTGAAAGCCCCCATGTAAATGGTCGTGGGATACCTCACCTGGTTTATTTCCTTTTTAACATGTGGCCTATATATTTCTTAGCAACTCCTCCACTGGCGATGATAGAAAAGGAGCATATGTTATATACATTACATGAAGTAGCTCCATCCCCTCCTCTTTTTTCTTTATCTCTACTCAGAAGCAGTGTAATGATAACGATTTCAGCCTCTGCTGTCTTCAAGAATAGGAGATCAAAAGGCACATTTCATTTCAGCAAATGGAATAAAAGCACTTCCCGTACACACACAGCCAGCAGTACAGACTCCAGCTGGCCTGCTCGCATCAGGCATGGCAGATGTTGCGTTAACTGGAGCTTGTCCATACCTGAAAATCAATCTAGACCAGGCACAGCGAGAGTTTGTAACTATAAGTGTGGTAAACTATCAGCTGTCTGGCTGGGTCACTCTAGATTTCCATGGTCATCATTGGTCTGCATGCATGTGGGATTTGGGAATTGCTCCTTTGGGGACATTCTCCACATAGGAGGGCGTCTCTTGTGTGCAAGGCTAGGTTTCCACGTAACACATGGCACTGTCATCATGCTGCCTCGGTGCTTTAACTGCGTGAGCTGGTTTTTATCATGGTGGTCAGTCCTTCATGAGGGAGGGGTTGCAATAAATTTGGGATGGGAGGAAAGGGAATGGAAAACTCCCAGAGCAGTCGTCTGGCATCCTCCGCCCCTGTGAGGATTTCCCTTTCTTCCCACACACTCCTCACAGCATTTCCTTTTCAAACAGGCATCATCCTCCCTTCCTGCTTACCCCTTGTATTCCTGGGTGCTGCTGTTTGTTTGATTTCCTATTTTCATCACCTTTGTCTATGTCTGTTACTTAGTCACTGAGCAAGTGCTGCCCATCTCTAGACTCTCATTCATTCCATTGCCTTTGCTCATGGCTGCGCTTCCAACTATGGTGAGGTCAGTGTGGCAAGAGAGGAGAGGGGTTTGTCCGCAGGTGATGGTAGAGCACTGCCTGGCTGCATTGCCTCACGAGCTCTGCTGTGCTGGAGAAGTGTCACTGCACCCCCATTGCCAGCCAGCTGGATTTTGTCATGTCTGTTATTGATGCTAGTCTGAGGTTGGTAAATCTGTCCTTCCTTTTTATGAGCCTTTTCCCCCTGTATTTTCATAGTCTGCCCTCTTCTGTACTGAGACAACAAGACTTGGCCCTTTTTTCCCCCTGTTGCAGTATGGATGGCTTTGCAGTTAACCTTACTTAAAATAAGTGGGTGAAATGCGTGATGGTCTCTCATAGAAAGCCTCTCAATGTCTTTGTCCCATTTCCTATTCATTGTCTTGAGAACTGTATTTGTTTAACCTTTCATCCACTTACCTTTTATTTGACCGCACTAAGCAGATCCTCTGTAGAGTGGTCTCAGATGAAGTTGGTGTGGTTTTTTTCCCTACCAGCTCTTCTCATACCAAGAACAATTAGAGAGAATCCCCTGATGCACGTGAGCTGTGAGAACAGTTACAGTGCATTTCCTTTCGGGATCTCGTGGCAAACCCTGTCTTTCCTTGAGATGCACTTTGCCATACGCCCCTGTGGCTGGCCTCCTTGTGGAGCACTGTCACTCCCAGAGAAGAGATGCTGTTAGAGACCATTTATTGCAGAGAGCTGATCCTCTGACAGTGTCATTGGCTTGTGTAAACCTCGTCACTGGCCTTGATGTTAATCTGCTTCAGCAGTTGAGGGAGTGGCAGATCCAACTGAGCACCATGGAGTAAAGCAGTAGACTTGAAGGATGTGTTCTGAGGCCACAAGTGCATGAGTTGCACATGAACACACAAGCTGTTTCTGCCAGGGGAGCAGGCTTGTTGCTTGCATTGTCTGCACTCATTCACACCCTTTCCAGGCAGCTTTAGCACAAGAAGGCCCAACAGTGAAACTTCAGCATCAGTGTGGTGGCCACAGGTACTTGATGTTAGTTTTGGCGACGCAAGCGTGCCTTGTCTTATGCTTATGTAACATGGGCAGTGTTACCTCCTGCAGTATCTGCCAGAGCCTGGCTGGGTGTTTGCCTGCTGCCCTGCAGCCCTCAGCCCTTGAGCTCGCCTTTGTCTGGCTTGAAGACCGCCTTCCCAACCCAAACTGTGCCATCCACAGCCCCTGAAGCCAAGAGAGCATCCTAACCAAGCAGCGGGAGTTGCGGGTTTCCCGGCGTGGGGAATGTCGCGGCTGTTGTTTCCAGATGTGTCTGTATTTTGGAGGTAATACTGGTTGTTTTTGTTCTCTCTTCCCTTCCTCTCTTGCCTGTTGTTTGCAGATGTTAACGCAGGAGAACGAGTTCAGACCAATAGCGTAGCTACAGCATCAGCCTCCAACTCCACCTGAACCAGTACCACACAGCCAGCTGCACAGGAAAAATCACCAGTAATTTTGAGTCTTGCTCAGCAACACTGGTCTCATTTGGAAAGAAAATTAAAAAAGAGGAGAGAAAAAAAAAAACCCCAAAAAAAAAAGGAAAGAAAACAAAAAAAAAAAGAGGAAAAAACCAACCAACCAAGCAACCTGTTCATTTTAGTGTTCAATTTTTTATTATTATTATTGTTGTTCTTATTTAACCTTGTAAAATATCTATAAATACAAACCAGTTTCATTGTATTCTCACTCTGCAGGGTGTCCGGGGCAGGGGACTAGGTGGGGGGGGAGGAGGGAAAGCGGAGCAATACAACACACCAATGTCTCTCCCCTCGACAATCTCTTCATGTTGGAAGTTTGCTGTTGTGTACTTCAGAACCAGGACTCTTGCCTCATGCCCTCTCCCACAACAGAAAGAAGGAAAAGAAAAAACAAAAAAAAAAAAACAAAAAAGGAAAAAAACCAAAACAAAAAAAAAAAACCCAAACCTCATTCTCTGCTGAAATTTATTATTTTTTTTTTTTTAACCTCTTTTTTTGTTTTCTTTTTAAGTGAAGTTTTGGACTTTGATGTAGTTGCACAGCTTGAATTTGGTCGGGAGCTTAGCAGGGGTCATTCGGCAGAGCTCAGTGTTTCTTGTCAGCCAATCCATCTCCCAGGTTGTCTGAAGAACTGCCCTGGCTCGGGATGGGGAGCGGGCAGCGTGGTAGGCAAATAGGTTGCCATAGGGTGGGGGGGGGGGGTGGGAGGGTTTGCTGTGTATCGAAGGCTTGACCCGCTAGTGGAAGCCTTTCATTGTAAAAACCAGTGCTAGCGGTGAGGAAACCCGCAGCTCCAGTAAGGGAAAAGTCTACCCCCGTGGGTTATGTATAATATAATACACACACATGCACGACCGCAGGCCGTTAGCCTTTGGAAGCAGCTCCTTTGCCCCGCTGGAGCTCCTGCCCCGTGTCGTGGGCCAGTGCCGGCACCCGGTCAGCTCCCATCTTCAGCAGAGAAGAGCGGATGAACAAATCCCTCGTCCTGAGCGGGGAGGTTTAAGGGACTCTTTGGGAAGTGACTGCTGTGGAAGCGGGTTTGGTTTCGGGATTTATTTCAGTTCCTCTTTTCTCCCCCGCTCTCAGTTTGTGAACAGGCTGCCCTTTCCCAAGGTGCGCACAGGAGGAGGACACCAGGGTTTATAATGTGAACTGTTAACAGTCTTCTGGTTTCTTTTGTAATACCTTCCTTTTTTAATGGCAGTTTTAACTCGCAGGATGCCACGTCCTCCCAATAGCTCTGATTCTCAATCCACAGCTAGAACCTGTATTTAATTTCATCTTTTTTAACCTCTTGCTGCTGCTTCTTTTTTGATCTCTATTTATTGACGCGTGTTGCCACGTTGCCATTATGGTTTTACATTTGGTAGGATATTAAAATACACATCCAAGTGCTCTCGACAGTAATATGTACCTGCTGACTTGTAGGAAAGCTGGCTATATATGAGTGTGTGTGTATATATATTATATAAATATATACATGTATACATAGATACAACACTGCTTTTTCTATTTTGTCTACGATCTCGAAACAGTCTGCCCGGAGCGCGAGGTGAATGCTTGTTCTAGTCCATCCGGTCAGGGCCCGGGTTTCCTCCCTGCAGCGGCGCGTGGCGTGAGCATCCACATCTCTCTCTTCCTGAAGTCAAAGCAATATCCCTCGGGAAAGGGTCAGGTGAGCGGCCCGACGCAGCCGCAGCGTTGGGAACGGGACATGCGGAGACCTAGGCTTGCGGTGGGTGTCTGCTCTGGCCTTACCCCCTCCGGAGGAGCTGTAGTCCATCACCTCTGGTGCTTAGCGAGCTGTTCCGTCTGACCCGGGAATCTCTTAAGGCAAGCAGTTGCTTTTCGGGAGCACGGGGACCATTGCGTGGCCCAGGGGTAGGCAGCAGTAGCAGCTTCAGTGCGCTCGGCAGCAGAGCTTTTACTCACGAGCTCGGTGCGTTTCTCCTTGTACCTTTTGATGCTGTTGATGTGGGATTTGTTTTGTGGCCTCTCTTAGCAGCCATGGAGCTGGGCACAGGCCTGCCCTCTCCTTCCCACCTGGCACCCGGTGTGGGTCTGAGGAGGCAGGAGTTGTTTCAAGAGGTGAGTGACCACCACCACCATGTCGTGTTTGCTGTCGGGCACACACAGGCGCGCACACACAGGGAAAAGGGGGTTTTAAAGCTTTTTAGCTGTTGTTAAATCCTGGCTGGCTGCATAGGAAAGCACACCCGCATTTAGAAAGAGGCAGCTCTCCAAATCCTTCCCTGCAGCTGAAGAGGAAGCTGAAGAGCGTCTGAACGCAAGGGCTCGGCTAGTCAGTGTCCCAAAAGGTAAGTGGAAGGGCTTGGCTGACCCAGTGATCCAGATAGATGCGGGAGGCTCCAAAAGCAGGGCAGCAGCGGGGGACGGATCCGCTGTGTGGGTGACACTGCTGAGGCATTGGCCACAGGCATTGTCATGTGAAGGCAGTGAATTACACAGTGCTTAAAAGCAGGAATACAAATAACAAAGAGAAGGTTCTGCTTGTGCCAGGAATTTGTGGTTGCTCTTCCCTTCCTTTTCCTATCCTTCCACCTTTGGGTTGAAGGCTGGTGAAGAGGAGCACAGAGCTTTCCTCTCTGGTTTGTGACCGTGCCGGCATCTGTGTGTGTTGTGTGCATGTGTGTGTGTGTGTGTGTTAGGCTGGGGAGGGTCAGGGGTGCCCCTCTGGTTTTAGTTCTTGTTTTCAAGGACCATGGCAGGATCTCACCCTCTTTTGTACATCAGATCCAGGTCTTTGAGCAACCGTTTTTGTAAATAATGAGACAGAAAAAAGAAAAAAAAAGGAAAAAACCCAACAAAAAAACCTCCCCCGAAAGCTCCTCACCAAATTCAAGCGTGTACATCCGTGCTATTGGTTGTTGTTTTGAGTTTTATTGTTTTGTATGTAAATATGTGGACCCAGGAACTGTTATTAATGAGCAAAAAGTTACCGTTCAGGGCAGTGATTCTGTTTAATAATCAGACAAAATGTAGACGAGCTTTTTAAAGCCATATAGTTTTAACTCTGTACAGTAGGTACCGGCCTGTATTATTGTAACAATAACTCTAGCGATGTATAGTGTATCTATATAGTTTGGAGTGCCTTCGCTTCCATGATTTTTTGAATTTTATTTCCCTTCCCCCCCCTTTATCAATGATGTCTTTCCCCTTCCACCCTCCCCAAACCCACATCTTTGCTCCCCCCCCCTCTGCTTTCTAACTCTTTGAGTGCTGTAAGGTTTCGGTGATACCCTGATCAGTAGCGGAATGAGAGGAAACCGTCTCCACCATCATCCATTTCATGGGAGCCGTGGCTTTGGGGATGTCTCCAAGTTGACCACCCTGCCCTCTCCTCCTCCCGCTGGCAGCCACCGGTTCCCTTCGGACACTTGCCCCAGAGCTCATTTAGGCTTTGCTCATTGATCCCCCCATTCCTGCAGCTTCCAGGAGGCTCGGCCTTCCCACCCTCCCTGCGGCTCTGCCGGGGGCAGCAGCCGGGCCCCCAGGGAGGGAACCCCTTGCATCCCGCAGGGATGCTCTGCTCGGAGCAGGGGGCATCGCTGTAGGAGACCATGGTGGTTTCTTCTGCCCGGGGGCACTTCCCGTTCCCTCCCTTCTCCTTGTTTTCCCCACCACCCCTCCCCAAAGTCACTTTTTGTTTTCTTGAGATAAGTTGAACATGACTCTTGATTTCTTGTGCCCAGCACGAAGGCCTTGTTTCTCAAACTAGTTTGCTTGTGTTTTACTACCTTGTTAGTATTCCACATAAGATTGTCTTGAATGGGAAAACACTTAACTCTTTACCAAACCAAAGGTTGCTGTTTTATTTCGAAGCATCTCGTGTTCATTCCAGTGAAGCAGAGGCTGCACTTTCTTTCTGGTGACACGAAGGTCAGTGATGCCAAGCTGTTGGTGACAGTCTGCTCAGAGCTGTCCCTCTCTTCTGTTATTCTCTTTCGGGCTTGTTTTTTAACCCAGTCTGGTCTTGATCTGCCCTTTACATCAGCCTTGCTGTGGCATGGGTCTCTGAGCCAGACTCGGTCGCAGTCTGTCCGCCCCAATGGCTGCCTGATCGAGACGCTGGTGTTCTTTCACCTTACATTTACCTACCTTGCTAGGGAAAGGCAACAACAAAAAGACCTTCAAAAGAAAATTGGCTGGTAGAAGATCCCCAACACTTTGTCCTCTTATTTCGAAGCCAAGCTGTACCTAAAATAACGCAGGCGCCTGTAACTTGCAACTTAAAATCCCCCCCTCTCCCCCCTGGTTTTCAGTACTTGGACCAGTAGAATCCAAGCAGCCTGTCAGACACGTGCTCCTGTACTGGGAACCTCCGCCACCGCAGAGGAAAAGGAAAAGCACAGTGAGGGTGTTGGGTCCGGGCTCTGCCTCTGGGGCACAGCCAGCGCGTACCCCGGGGTGGCAGCTCACTTCCACGGGGCTCTCGGCCGGTTCTGGTCGTAGTTGGCTTCGTTTTGCAACACTGCAATAACAGCAAAACGGACAGGAAAGGAAAACAGTACCTAAGGGGTTAGCTCGAGAAAAGTAGCTTCCTTGTGTTGGTCTTTCTCCATTTATTTTTAATATATATATATAAAATATATTTATATATATATAATTTGCTTGCCTGTAAAATTTGCGTTCATTAAATGTGTTGCTGATGGATCACTTGGGCCTGTACACACCAATTAGCGTGACCACTTCCATCTTCAAAAACGGAAATCTAAACAAATATATATATATATTAAGGACTGTGGGTTGTATACAAACTATTGCATACACTTGTGCAAATCTGTCTTGATTTAAAGGAGAAGCAAAACCTGTATAACATTATTACTACTTGAATGCCTCTGTGACTGATTTTATTTTATTTCTTTTTTTTTTTTCATTTGAAATATAAACTTTTTTCTTTTTTTTTTTCTTTTTTTTTTGTGGAAAGTATGCTCAATGTTTTATTATTTCCCCTGCCCCTTGCTCCCCCTTGTAAATACGTTTTGTTCTGTGTGACTCGGTTCGGAACTAGTTACCTGGTACTGTAATTTGCATTAAATAAAACGTAGGTTAGCCTGGAAATGAAATTTAAACAATACCAAGTGTGTGGTCTTTATTTCAAGCAGTTGCCCCTTTCTTTCCTCCTCTTCCTCCCTCCTCCTTCTCTCCCTTCTCCTCACCTCCCGCCTCTTTCCGCTCCGC